GCTTGAAGAGGTCAAAGTTTGCCCTGCTGATCTCCCTGTCCTTATCTCAACCTATGAATTTTCTGTCCTGTTTTTCTCCCCCTGTCCTGTTGAGAAGGGGGAGTGATAGAGCAGCTTGGCGGCACTTGGCCACCAGTCAAGTTCAACCCATCACAACCATGTACCATGACGAATCCGAAAACCACACATGTAGCGTAGTAGGTTTCGGATACACAGTCATATCATCGATGCAATCACTTCAAATTGCCTGGCGTACAAAACATGTTTGCGCTCGTAGTCTATGTCAAACAAGATACATGCTTCCATTGACAAATAATTTTGTTTGCCTTTGACACAGACCAAAACCATGCGTGCAGTCAGCTACTGTGAATTGTCAGCACATGGTTGTTCAAATACGGTGAGCTCAATAACGTGCCCTCAGTGAACACTGAGTACATAATCCTCGCACTTGGCTGAAATGATGAATACCCACGAAAATTCCCTGAGGTTTTATGCAACTCCCAGAGTGTGTGAGGAAAGAACAGCTGGTTCAGTTTCCTTGAGCTCAGAGTATAGACTGTGTCTCAAAGGCAGAAAAGAGGCATAGGTATCCAAGCACTGCTCTCAAAAGCAACTCAGCCGCTTTTGAAAACGGGACGTTGGTCCTTACAGAAATTTCCTCTTGTCCTTAAGCTACTTAACCATGGTGTTTCCAAGTGTTATTAATTAACATGAATATCCTGTTCCCTTGGATATGTGTAAATCAGATAATGCTGACGTATTTTCACAATTGCCATTCTCGCTGAGTTCATGCCATGTGCCCAATTATGAGTAGTGCTGGAGTGGCATATGACATGCAAAGGAAATATTTAGAGGTTTCTTTCTCTTCAGCAATAGACATATTAATGTGTGACAATAGGCATATAGAAAAGGAATTTACCTTGCTCAATCTGAAGGGCATCTCAGAAGTATTTTTCTCCAGAAATTTCTTTTCCCAGTTTCCTTTGAAATAAATGGCATTTACTAAGACCAACACAGTGCGAGAATTGAGAGATCCTGCAGGCAGCAGATCCTGGATTTTCCCTTCAGAATCAGACAAACAGGACTGTTATTCCAGTGTGGCTGTGTAACTCACCAATTTTAATTGTGCTTTCTCTCTGTCTACCTACCTGCCAAAAATGTTTGCATTTGGGAGGTTTTTTACTGTACATTTTTCGTTATTAACATATGGTAAAAATGTGGGGTTTTTAAAGTATCTCAGTTTTTTAAAATATATTTATTGCAATTTTGGTAGTAAATTGCATTGGAAAGTGGGTGAAGTGGAATAGCTCAGATGTTCTGTGAAGTTGATTCCAAGCAGCTGAAGAATGCAGAATTAAGCCCCTCACTGTCCAGAGTGGAGCCACTCAGTATCTATCTGTGCCTCCCTCTGAGCAGAAATAATTCAGAAGAGGCCACAGCATGAAGAATCAAGGGAGGGCCCTTGTAAGGAGCAGCAGTTGGGTTTGGAGAGAGGCATTCTTCATACCATTTAACTGCACTTTGCTCGTCACCTCCTGTAAGTTTCCATCTTTTATGGATCCTTGGCTGCAAGAGCAATAAGTGTGGAAATACAAATGATTTGAAAGCAACACAAGAAAAAAGCCATCAGAGTAGTACTTACTCTCAGTTTTATTTTCAACCCATGAATTGATCAGTGCTCTGGCTTGTTCTGCAGCTGTCTTAAAGTTTACAGCTTGTGGCTTTGCATTATAATAGCTTGTAATGAGCTGTAAGAATTCCTGAAAGATAGAATTGGAACATGTATGCTTATTTAGTTATATTTCAGTTGTAAAATACTGGAAATAATCACTTGAACAGAATACAATCTGCTAATACATAATTGAAGAAAATGTAATTTGTTCAAAATAAGATAACCCGTAAAATAAGGTCTGATACATCCTGTGCTAAATATTAAGTAAGGACTGATCAAACTTCAGTCTCAAGGAAACTGATACTTCAAATTTTTGTGTTTGAAATCCAAAGTGGAAATTTGTAATTTTGAAATATCCCATGAAACATTCTTCACTTTTTTTTAATTTCTCAGAATTACGTTTTTATATAATTTAAATACTTTTTTTCCTGCTTTATGATGTAGAGTTCAGTATAAGAGGGAAAAGTAGTCTCACATAAAATTGAAACAAGGTTTTTAGGTTTTTAGATTTCCTTCAGATGCACAGAACCTGCCAAGAGTTTGGGAGGACAGTAGTAGATCAGGTATAAAGGGAATGTTCTGGTAGAATGAAGTCATGGTAGAAAAGCAGAATTAAAATTTGCATTGCTGTCTGGTGAATCAGTTCATGGAGATTCCCAGTAGGAAATTCTCTAGATTCTCTGTAAAGCAGAGGCACGATATGGAGAAAATGAGCAATAAGCATTCAGAAGGACAAATTACTAATTACTCAGGAGATTAAAATAAACTCCAAGATCAAAGAGTAGTAATCTCATTTAAAACCACCTTCCAATAAATTGTAAGGTGATTAATACGTTAGGATTTTTTTAAGATTTCAAAGATACTGGTAGTTACAAACTCATGAGTGTTTGGGGCAAATGAATAGAATAGTTTTAGCGGGCATATGGGTAAACATGGCATATTGGAGGAGTGTCAACAGCATTTTGTAATAGGAAGTCCTTAATCACAAATCTGTTGGAATTTTTGGAAGGTATCAGGAAGCATGTGAGTAAGAAGGTTGAGCCATTACAGTCTATGTGAATTACCAAAAGGCATTTTGTAACACCTCTCACCAAAGACTGAACATCCATGGGACTGCAGTGATAGGTCTTGTTTGTTTAAACTACTGGAAACCAAGAGTAGGAGGAAATAGTGTGCACAGTGAAGGGTTATTACTACCAGACTGCCACAGGGATATGTGCTAGGATTTGTGCTAGAATATTTATTCTATAAAATACAGATCTAAATATTTACATTAAAAATATATATTAAAACATTTATAAATGATCCAGTGAAATGTGTGCTACAGAGAGAGATTATCACTGTTCAGGAATGAGGTGTTGAAGTTATAATGGACAGCTGCATGAAAAAAGTCTTCCCAATATCAGCCAGAAGGGTGAATACAGTTTTAAGTGTTACAAAGAAAGGATTAGGGAACAAAAGAGAGAATATTAGTATGGCACTGTATAAAGCTATCATGTCCCCATTGTCCGATTTCTCTGTGCTGCTCTGGCCTCTCCAGTCTCAGAAATGCTAGAGTTATTATAAAAGATGCAGAAAGAAGGGATGAAGATGACCAGAGGTACGGAGAAGTGTCCCTTAGAGGAAAAAACGAACGAATAATGCTGCCAATGGGTGTCAGGCTCAAAAACCACAAGTGCTTCCTACAGTGTATAGTTCAGCTGTGGAACTCCTGGTGCTGAGGGCTGCAGTATGTTCAAAAGACAAGTCTGCAAATTCATGAGAGAACAGCTCAGCCATGTCTATGAAGTAGACATGCCCTCTTATTCAAGCAGCTGCAGATTGCTTGGTGACCACAGCAGACGGTGGAGAAGCATTACTACCCAGCAAGCCTTGTTCTCTTGCACTTCCTAATCTGTTGGAGACAGATGGACCTCTTGTCTGTCCAAGACTACCCCCATATGGCTGTACTCATGTTCTCACTGAAACCACAATGCTATCATTCGGGAAATTTTTAGCATCTCTTTTGATAATCCCTCCTAATGTCAAAATATGCTCAAGTCAAGATGTTCAACTCACGGGCAGCAATGGGTAGGTCTTTTCCTCATACAGTCGGTTGGCACTCTTCAGCAAGTAGGTGCTTCTGGGTTTGTTGATGGCAGACAGGAGCTCTTTGAAGCCAAAGTGGATATTCTGGGCTTGCTTGTGCTCAGGATCCTTGGAAAGAGACACCAACTAATATGATTTTTTTTTCTCTCTGAAGTGTTGTACCTGCTGTGGTTATTTAAAATGTCCAGGTTATTTTAATTAGAAAGGATTTTCAGAGGATGGAGCTCTTTTTTGAGTATGTTGTATGTCTGCAGCATTATGTATGACTGGACAAATTGTTTTCTGTCTGTAGGGCAATGGATTGGTTTCTGCAGTGCTGTGTAGGCCTTTGGAGACATCGGCTGATGGTACACCCAGAAAGTTGAATCTCCTCATTTCAGTCATGGTCAGGCCCAATTTCAGTTTCACAAGGACCCATCAGTGCAGCCTGGCAGCTTTTGAGGAGGAGCTCTGTTCTGACAGACACTAATGTCAGGGCATGGACTTACCAGCTATTCATATTTACTCTGTTTCGCATTAATTTTGCTGTTGCTGTTTGGATTTTGGATAGAGCTTGTCTTGGATGTAAGTGTCAGTTTTAGGGAGCATGAGCTTGCTTGCCAGCTGTGGCCAGCTGTCACTTCTCTGACAGAGGAATAAGCTGCTATGAGATGCTTGGGTGCATTCTCCTCCTCCATGGTGTATACCATGCCCTGCACATGAGACACTGAGAGTCTGTGCCACTGACTCGTCGTGACTTGTCATGAGGTTGGTCAAGTGGCATTCCTTGCTCTGGGCTTTTCTCACTCATGCTTAGGTGGGCTGCGAGGAGGGACACCTGGGAAAAAATTCGGTGACACAGGAGAGGTTGGGTTTTGCAAAGGGATGGGAACAGATTGAAGAGATAATAGAGAGAAATGTCTGAAGGACCAGATGAGGCAGACAACTCAGAAAGTCAGCGAGTTGCTAAAATGAATGTGGATGTAATGATTCATCTTCAAGATTCACCCTCCACCACCTAGGGAGAGAATGATATAACCTCTCCCTCTCTCCCCTTTTATTTCCAGGTTGTCTAATCTAGTTTCTTTGAGCTTTCTTTTCATTACCATGCTAAATAAACATGGCTTGTTTGAGTTTACAAGCCTTTCAGTGCGTAGGGAGTTCATTTGACAAAAAAGATCTGGGCAGTTCCTCCTGGTGGCAAGTCTCCAGGGAGCTGATGAACAGGGCTGACTCAGCATGCTCTAGCTTAGAGGGGAATTCTGTTTGCCTGATGTGTCCATGCATGAAAAAGGTGGAAGGGAGTTTAATGGGTAGGGCTGAAGTCAGGTGTGAATGCAGTAGTTGTTTTCACTACAGGGAAAAAAAACCCTGAAGCTGATAAGCGATAGAACTATCCTAAGCACATTGGGACAATTGATTTGTTGAAATTGCCATAGACCAGCTAACAGGTAACACAGTGTTAGGGCCAATCAAAATGCTGTTAAGTGTCTCAGTTCTGCTTTTGAAGGCCTGAATTAATGAGTTTTATGGTGACATTATCTGCTTGATTGCTTTTTCTCTTTACGTAGTTCTTACGGAAGTGAGACAGTAGATACAGACTGAAGACAAGCAAATGTTAGAAGGCTAAAGCAGTAGTTGTGATAACTATATCTTTCTCAGAATTTTTTTTTTCTCTGAGTCTTTTGTTGTAATAAGTACCGTCTTTCTTTCCTTTGGTCTCCCTGGAGAAGGCCTTGTTGTCTCAGATGAACCTTCGTCAACTGCAGTCTGGTTAAAATGAAGAACCTGTGATGTTGATAAATGTTCATTAAGACAGCTTGTTTTCTGAAGATAGATGTGCCCAAGAGTTATATTAGTTTTCTATGGTAATTCACCTGTCATGCCCAATGACAGTTAGTCTATTAAAAGTTACTGGGGACAAGACCTTACTCTTGATTTAGTCTCTTAACTATATCATTATTTTATAGATTTTAGTCACATTTGCTGTTTAATAATAGATCAAAATTATGGCTCAAATATGAGTTTATTTATATAAGTGGTCGGTTCATGCTTGGGTACGTGGAATGTGTTTTCAGATCACAACCAAGCACAACAAAGCATAGTGCACTTCAGAGTCTTACTACCGTGACAGAACAGTATAATTGTACATTTAATGAGTTTAAGTAAATGCATATAACCTTAAGTAAATGCATATAACCTAAAAGAGTACAAGACCAAAAAGTTCTGCTAAAGCAGGCATAAGTGAGATCATATTTCAGTACTAGTATGTCTCCATTTCATAATATCCTGTATTCATGGGAGTATTACCTTATTTGTGGACTAACAATGTTACAATCAAAGGTATTTTTACTGCTTCTGTGCAGCCAAATGTATGTTGAGGAGACTGTACTAACTTTGGTACGCAGTATGAGAAAGGAGATACACTGCTTCCAGAAACAGCTTTGGTTTCATCTCTAGCAATCCTTTTTCTAGATCCTCTTAGCTCCCTATTATTTTTGTTGTCTCTTTATTACTATTTGAGCACTACATTTGTTGAATTATTCTGTTCAAAAGGCAATTAAAATATAAGGCAGAGTTCCCAGCAAGACCAGCACTAGTCTCTAATGTCAGTAACTTCCCTCTGGCAGACCAATGCAATGCTCTGGGAACTGTGAGTGTGAGCAAAACTACCAGTGCAGAACAGGGAGATCTTGGAAACGTAGTGGAAGAACCTATAGGACTGCCAGCAGCACGAGTGGGGTTATTTCCTGTAGTCAATATTATGGCAGGTCACTGTTCTCCCATGTTGTGCCTTTCTGTTCCCCGTAGGCAGAACAATAATGCAATTTATGTGGGAACCACCTGCAAGGTGATACACTGCTAATTTCAGAGCTTACCTTAGCCATCTGGCTTGCAGTGTCACCTTTTGCACCCAGGTAGACCATGGCAAGAGTGGTTGCGATACTCCAAGGAGAAAAGAAAATGTTTTGGCCTTTGGAAGTTTCATTCAGCTTTTGGTAAAGGTCCAGAGTGAAGCTGTTGGTTGATGCTGAGAGAGACTCCATTGAGACAGCCTGAGAGAAATAAGTGTGAGAGAGAGGTGATGACTGCTGCTTCACTTCTTTTTAAAAATACAAAGCTGCTAGTGAGGCAAACAAAACCTGCTCCCTCTTATATACAGTGTGAGGGTGCCTCTCCAATGGGTAAAATACTGCACAGAGACCAAGTACGATCAGCTAGTGAGGCTCTTTTTAACACCTGTATTATTTCTTCCTTCCCTATCACTCCTCAGTGTCCTCAGCTTTTTTATTTATTCTTCGTCAGGTGAGCATTTTAGCTAGAAATGTTTTCACAGACCAAGGTTTTTTTCAAAAACCTGTTTGCTTAAGCTTCATTCTTTGATTCTGAGGGAGTGAAAGAGGATCATTTATCACTGTGCTGCTTTGAGATTTTTTTCTTTCTTTAAACTTCCTGTGCTATTGTTTTCTGCTGAAAAAGCATGGTGAATTCATGCAATTCACTACATGGTATCTTGAAGGTTACTAGAGATGTGTAGATTTTTATATGTTCTTGGTGTAGGTAAACCCACGCTTGTGAGCTGTAGCTGAATTTGTTAATTACTATTTTTAAAGTAAACTCTTGTATCTTATACACAACTCCAAATAGTTCCTGTTTTGAAAAACAACAGTTTTTCCCCGGTTTCTTGCTGTCTTATCAGAACCTGTAGATTTTCCAATTTTGTTCTGCTTCTTTTTCTCAGTATGTTTTTACAGGACAAAACCAAAGCAGACGAAAAATACTCAACCCCGGGATTAAACTGATTTTCTATCTGCAGAACAAACAAACCTGTGCTTCCTACTAGCATGTTTTAGATTAATCTAATACTGTTGACAAATATTAGGATAGATTCAGAAATTTACTAAAACAGGTGCTAAGGTCACTGTAAGATGGCATCAGGTGAAAGGTTAAGCATTAGATCAGCAAAAGCAACTCGGCATTTAAATCTGTCTTCACCCACAATTTACATGCTTAAATCAAAGACTACAGTCTTCAAAGCCAGGTGCCATGCAGTGTTAGAGATGCCCGGAGCCACTGGGATCCTCAAGGTTTGATTTTAAAGCTTCCCAGGGCTCCACAAGTGCTTTGAAGCATTCTCAGGAGTGTTTCAGAGGTGAATGCAGCCTAGCTCATACCTAAGAATTTTTAGGACCTTCAGATCAGGCATTCCTTACTGCTGTGCCTGGAGATGCTGATATTCCCAGAGCGCATCTAGGGAATGGGGCTGAGCTGAACATTTTGCCTGAAGAATTTCAGACCGACATCTCCATCTCCCACTCCCAGAGAGTACCTGAACCGAATCTGCATGGGGCAATCGAGCATTTTGTAGGCTTGAGAGAGAGAACATGCGTGTGTTTCTGTGAGGTTCACTGGTCTACTGGCCGCTTTGGTCATCTGGGAAAGGAAAAGTCTGGATGCCTGATTCAGTAGTTATTTGATATTAGTAAAGCAGAGGCTTGTACCAATACACCCCATGCTGAGCATCCAAAACACTGCGCTACAGATTCATGCTGTCTTGTGCATTCAGTTCCAGGATCAGGAGGAAGACATTCTCTCCTGCAGCCTGTTCTCAGTCTTTTTATCCTAAATCAGCTGGTATCCTGCTGATTTAGGTACCCTCCCAACAGGCAAGGAAACTTTCTGCCCTCCCAGGCTGTGTCGGTTTTGCCTAACCTGGGCTTGCAGTCTGACCCTGTGCTTTGGTACAGGGTTTTCCTAAGGGCTACACTTTGTACTACAAAATAAGCATGCCCTTTCCCTGTGTGACTTCTACACCATCATTTAACTGCTCAGTTCCAAAGAATTTAATGTGAATTTTTAAGACTTCCAAAGTAAAGCTAGTTATTTTGATATGAATATTTACACTACCTGAAATCCTGAAGGAGAGAGGAGTTAAGATCTGTCTTCAGTTAGGATCTGTGGCAATCTGTGAGGCAATGAATACTTTTGGAAATGTAGAAATGTTTGCACCTCCCTTTTCTTCTCCACATCCTCTTCTTGTATTAGTGTGCATGTTCCCTCATTTATTCCTCTTTCTCCTCTATCACCTGCTTTCAGAACTTAGAGAGAGAGAGACCTCCTCAATTCAAGGCCACTGTTAGTAGGTGTACGTCCTGAAACGCGAAGGCCAGTATGCCTTTCTCTCACAGGTGTCCCCCACAACCTTGGCGTTTGGTCTGGAAAAATATAGGAATTGCAGAAAAGAATTCAACCACCCTGTGTTGGCAAGGGACATGTTGAAATACTTTTACAGCTTCTTTTTCTTGTTATTCTACAAACTGGGCAAATGAATATAAACTCATCTCAAAGATATGGCTAAAAGGTAGTATCAAAATAGGCTGGTAGTCTCATTAATCCTGTGGTCAAATCTGAGACAGAGGGGAACGTTTAAATACCTGTGGCACTCAGGTCACATAAAGCCCTTATTTTGCAATATTTTACATTTTTGCTCTTCTTTTTCAGAAAGCAGATGACAGGGGAAGCTCAGAAGGTATTTACACAGTCACCTAAAACACGTGATGAAATAAGAGTGAATACTGCACTCATTTGAACTGATGGATGCTGTTTTAAGAGACTACTGCTCCTAGCAGTGGAGGTGAAGGTTCTTTAGGTACCTACAGGCCCTACACTGTACCGAGCTTATTATTCCTGTGTGATGGATTGAGGAAGATTGGATCATCCTCCAAAACCTGCAAAACTGCTTGGAAGCTCTGCTTGTAATGATTTTTTTTTTTTACTGAAGCTGTTTGTTGAATTAGAGTAGAAAGCAAAAACTGCAGGATATGTAAAATTGAATATCAGCAAAAGTGTAATACAAAACAGTTATGTGTATGCAAAGGTTTTACTTTAAATAGTATAATTAGCAATCCAGCTGGGTCCCATTATCTGTGTGACTTAGATTAAACTGCACTGATAAATTTCTTTTGTGGTCATTAATTTAGTTAGATAGGAATGGTCTCTGCCCACTAGTATGACACATGCAGAGTAAACCAGCTACCAGTGTGCAGTCAACCTATACCTATAGGTATAAGGTGTACAAGTCCGTATTTTGGACTATAATTACACTTTGGAATTTATATTCCATTTGAATCTGACTGGTATGTATGCCATACAGAGTTTCAAGACTCTATGTGCCTCTCTTTTTTCACACGTTTTGTTTTTAAGTGTGTGCAGTTTTTTTGCCTGAATTATCCATCTTCAGGAATGTATTAGACACTATTATCTTTAGTTATTTGCTTAAGAAATGTTTCTGCTATGTATCTGAAACTGCTGTTGTCTATTTCTTAGCTAAATGAACAGGTGAAGAAAAAGAAATAAACAGTTCTACTACAAGCTACAGAGATTGGCCAAAAAGACAGGAAAATGAAGAAAGGGTACCTCAAACTGTGTAGACACTCTCTGTGGTATATTCCAGATGCTGCAAGATCCTGTTTAGTAAGAGAGTGGAGTTTCAAAGGGGAGCAAATTTGCTAAAGAAGAGGTGCTCTTGGTTTTGCTGTGCCAGATGGAAATAGTGAGAGTAAACAGTGACTTGCTGCAACCAGAATGGTAGAAACAAGGTTCCATAGCACCACAGTGCCTGACCTGTTGACCTCAGGTAGATTGACCTCTGACAAATGGTCATAAAAAGTCTTTTGATAAAACCAGTCATATTCCTCTGGCATACTGGTAAAGTCGGATGGCCTTTTTTGAAGCTGTATTTCATCCTGGATGCAAAATTGTATCTTTCTGCTCCCTTGATTGTCGTACTCTCATACCCGTACTTTGCAAGTGGTCCACTCTGAGTAGGCCATTTGGGTATTCATTAAAGATCAGTTCTCTCTCAGTCACATCTAGTAAAAAGCAGCAAAATTTAAAATCAGTGCTAAACTAAGTCCAATTACAGATTTTTACTTTGCAGGAAATCCCATTCAGCTGTGTTCCCTAGGAAGAAAATGAGACCAAGTAGCACATCTGTTGCAATAGAACTCTAAAGGATTGGACTATAAATAACATTTTAAAAGGGATTTTCTTGTGCCTGTCACTAATGGCAAAATAAAACCTTAAAAACTACAGATGCATTTGCATTTCAGTTCTAAAACAGGGCTTTTTTTTTCTGTGTCCTTGTCTTGAACACTAACAATACACATGCACAGTAGTTTATTATTATTGTGCTGTGCCTGCCATTTCTGCTTGTGATGAGGTCAGTCTACCACAGAGGTGCCAGGGATTATTTTGTGATGCTGAGATTTGCACTGGGAGACAAAAGCCCCATCTTTCATTGTAGGATAAACTGAAAGCATTTTAATCTACTGTGTTTCGACAGGCATGGAATCATTAAGTGACAAGCAGTCTATGCTCACAATGTGTTTGTATTCAGGCTTATCTCAGAATTTTCCTGTAGATACTTCTTTCTTTAGTTTTCAAAGTCCTGGGCCCTTTCAAGAAGTTCATGGACCTGAAGTTACAAACTTTGATGATACAGAACAAACCAAGGGCTTCTTGAAAGCAGTAATTTGGAAATGCAGTCATGTTACACCTATTACTTGGCTGTCTTGGAGTACTTTAGAAAGGTGATTAAATAGCATTTTGCCCAGTATGGAAGAATAAAATTCAACTGTCTTTCAAAAGTATGAAGCCATGTGGCAGACAGCAGAGAAAGGACAGTGCTTGGGAGAGTCCTTGCTGAGAGGAGCATTGGAACATTGTGATCTGTTCATGGTGTAGGAGCTGCTCTGCCCCAGCTCTGTCTTGTCTTCCCTCCCCCTATCTAAGCCCATTGCTGGCCAGCCTGTCACCTCCAGGAGGCCCCAGGCCTTCTGTAATAACAACAGCAAGCATGGTTAGCACATTGCAGTGGAAATTCAAATTCTCTTCCTTGCTTCATCCAAGTGTGGCATCCAATCCAACTGGGGAAAATAATTATGAAACCATGGAAACTAACAGATTTGTGACTTTTCTTAACTTCCAGCACAGTCATATGCACCTTCCAGGTCTCAAAGGCAAGTGACAAGTGACTGCAAGGGAT